CCGACAGGTGTGTGGTCCAGACAGGGAGAGAGAGAGAGAGAGCTATTTATATATAATTACAATTATAATTATTAAATTAATCAGAAAAACTGAATGAGTGCATATAAACCAAACATTTATCAAATTAAATTATATATTATGAATAAACACTTTAGAAATATAAAATTCAGAGAATTTTAAGCGAAAAGTAAATTTAATAATTATTTAATATTAACTAAATAATTTTGTGTTTATTAATCTCAATTACTAACATTATACATTTTAATTCAACTTGTTATTTAAATACTTTATTTTAAATTTTAAATTCGAAATTTAGCTATAAGTGGTAATTTTTTGCATTATTACACACTTGTTAATTGCCATTAAAATATCTTAAAGTTTACCCCCCCCCCCCAAAGTCACTTAAATATGATAATTTGAGTATTGCATACATAATTGATAAATAAGTAGGCAGTGTTCATTAATCAATATTTATTGATATTTTTATATTACATTTCTAATGGGTAAGCTTGACAAAATAGTTTGAAATTATTAATTTTTTTATAATTTCTTTAGTTGCATAATGTCAAGCATATCCCTAATACCACATAGATTAATCAAACACTTGTGGTTTATAAAGTAAAATTAATTAGCCACATAAAGGGTACCGTCAATATTTGAAGTGATATTTAGTGAAAATATAATAATCAATTAACCTTTCAACCTACACTGTAATTTATAAAAATTGACTAGCTCCCTGCATACTATTTAAGTAGACCTAATAATTTAATTTGAATTCATTTCATACGCAACACTAATTCGTCATGATGAAAGTGCTAATTATTGCGATAGTTATTTTAATAACTCTCAATTTTATATCATCGGCTAGTGGGGTAAATCATAATACAATTTGTTTTTTAAATTAAATTAATAAAGTCATGTCAATTATCTAGTTTAATTTTAAAATACATTATGCAAATTGAATTATAATATAACTCAAATTCTCACCGCAAATATATGTATTTTAAATTTACCATAGATAATAACCTTATTTATTTAAGATAGGTTAGGTTTGTAGTAAACTGTACATTCGATCATATTAGAGGCAACATTCTGAATCATTCAGTGTATCTGTGCAAACAAACTGTAAACTATAGTATTTCACTAAATACTATATTAGAGAAAAATTCGTTGCTATACTATGTATAGTATACATTATGAAATGAAATACTTCAATTTACAGTTTGTTTGTACAGACACACCGAATGATTCAGAATGTTGCCTCTCATATGTATGTATTTAAATAAAAAAATTTAGGCATGCTCTGGCAATTGCGCTTCCAACGAACAGTGCCGTCAGCATGGTGGTGTCAATTGTTTATGTGCCTGGTTCAGTTGCTATATTACTGTAACATCGAGAGTGGATTATGGAGAACAGCTAGCCAATTATTATGGACTGTACGTAAATTTGTTGTTAAATATGTATTATATATAATTTGAGTAATTTATCTAAATTTTTACCATTTAAACGTAGGAATCAGATAACATTGGCCTCGACACTTTCGTAAATTTATAATAATAATAATTATTAATTTGATATTTACAATTATATTAATCTATTTTTATTGTAATGTCATTAGTAATTATTTAAATTTATTATTAATAATATAATGAATGGAAAAGAAACAAGCATTTGCTAATTTAAATTTATGGTATTAAATTTAACAAGTTTAGATAACACCTACTTATTTAACTTTCAAAATTTCATTTTATTAATAAAATCGAAAATAAAATTTGTAATAGTTTAGTTATTTATAGATGCAAAATGTTTCTTTGTGTTAACCTTATTCATTACAATTATTATTTAATATATTTTAACTTGTAAGTAAGAATTTGAAAAATAATATTCCTATTGTAGGATCCAAATATAAATTGTTTAATAACATTATAATACAATAAGTTACCAATTATATGCAATTTACAGTTTCTAGAATAGAGGGGTTATCAGTTTATTAGTGACATTTAAAAAAAACTAATAAATAGTTTGATTTTTGATAATAATAATACTAAATATTAAATTGAACTGAGAAATTATTGATTAAAAATTAGTATATTATATCTATAATATCACATTAGGTATTTACAAAAGGTTGACAAAACTTACTACACCTTTCATATCACTAATTACCGCTTTTAATAGCAACTTGTCATACGTCTCGTACATAACAGGCGGCACCATTTGCGCCGACTGTATGACCGAACACCTGGCGATTAAGATTACCGAGAGTCAATTGTAAGGAGTAGCGTGCCCAGGGTACCGGTGCTCACGCCCAGCGCCTCACCACCTTGTTAAGAAATTGGATCCAGACAATACTATGTATGAGCGATACGTAACATTATCCCTAAAAACTTGGATTAGGGACGCGCCGGATGTTGTAAGTGAGCTTGGTATAGTTGTAAAATGTTATTTAAATCTTTTGTTTGGTTTTAATCCAATATACTTAAAATCTAAATATACTATAGTATTATTTGAATTGTAGAAATGATATTACAGTTTGAAAAGTGCTAGTATATTTTTAAAATGTACTTACGATTAGAATTTAGTATTTTAATTATGATTTACAGCTAGTATATAAACTTTTATTTCATTTATTTTAAAAATAACCTCGCTTAGGATTATTGCCCCAAGTGTGATCAAATAGTGCAAGGTGTTAATGGAAGTGCTACGTGCAATACATGCATGCTCACATTTTGTCCCAAATGTAAAAGGTCATACCATGGCAGTGTAGATTGTGAGCAAGCTGAAAGGGATCGAGATGAAAATGTGCTATCTGAAAATACTATTAAGCGAACTACCAAACCATGTCCCGGGTGCAAAGCGCCTGTTGAGGTAACATATTTAATTAACACCATGCTTAATCTTTTCACAATTATCTAATATTATAGAAAGTTTCCGGTTGTGATCATATGATCTGTCACAAATGCAAAAATCAATATTGCTGGCTATGCTTGGTTATCATGGAAAAAGGTTTATGGTTTAAACATACATGTCAATAAATCAACTTACTATTAACTATAATAATATTGTAATTTTGTTTATTTTGTATCATGGCTTAAAATATCTATTTATATTTTTACTTTTTTAAAATATTTATTATGAAATTGTATTTTTATAATGAAAATATTATCATTAATTTAAATACCTTAAAAATACACTATCGCTTTTAGGCCCATTAATAAATCTAATATATTTTATGTTATAATTTTATTTGAGCAATAAAAGTTTATTACAGTTTGCATTATTATAATAATCTCAATAGATATCTGATAGGTTAAATTAAATTGTAAGTTTATTATATATTTTTTCGTTATTGTGTTTTCCAAATACATAAAATAAGTGTACATTATTTAATCGTATTAATTTAATTTAATCTAATGATAAACTTAATTTATCTTAATTTATCTACAAATTGCTTATAAAAATAAACAAATGTTATGATAATTTTCAAAAATAAAATGTAATCAGCTATATCATATAACATTCCTAAGCAATGACTGTATAATCAAATGATTAAAATATTGTAAACAACCGGTAGCCATTATTGTTATTATACTGCATAAAATTTTGCTACAAAATATACTGAATATTTAAAAATTAATTATTTAAATAATACATACTTTTGTTTTTTAGCACCAATTACATAGTTAATATAAATAGTATATTCATTTATCATGACTTACTGTAGTCGTAATCATTGGAATAACTTTACTAGGTCAACTCGGTTTGGTATGTGTGTGGTATTCATACATTACTTTAATTTAATAAACCATGGGCACTGTATTAAATAATGTTAATAATCTAATTTTATTACCAGATCGCACCAGGGACAAAGGGATCCAAGTGATCAAGGAGTTTTACTGTAGTATATGCACCGACACCTACCCCATAGACAGGTGGGTGTCGTGCGGTTGTGACCATAGATTTTGCGCCGACTGTATGACCGGACACCTGACGACTAAAATTAACGAGAGCCAATTGGAGGGAGTGGCATGCCCAGGGTACCGGTGCTCACGTCCAGCGCCCCACCACCTTGTTAAAAAGTTGGATCCAGATAATACTATCTATGAGGGATACGTAACTTTATCATTAAAGACTTGGATTAGGGACGCACCCGATGTTGTAAGTGAGCTTGATAAAATTGTTTAATTTTAATTAAAAATTTAAGCACAATGTGGGATCCACCAAATTAAATTAATTTTAAATAATCTGTAGCAATATCTAAATTATTTACATAAAGTTACAGTTTTAAGAGTATTATTATGTATTTTTAAAAATATATCAAGTTGATATATTTTATTATTATTTACATAATCATATTATTTTATTAAATGTTTTTAATTTATTTTTAATTTGTTTATTATTGCATTTTTAAATGTTACCTAGGATTATTGTCCCAAGTGTGATCAAATAGTGCAAGGTGTTGTGGACAGGGCTACATGCAACACATGTATGTTCACATTTTGTCCCAAATGTAAAAGGTCATACCATGGCAGTGTGGATTGTGAGCAAGCTGAAAGGAACCAGACTGAAAATGTGCTATCTGAAAATACTATTAAACAAACTACAAAACCGTGTCCCGGGTGCAATGTGCCTGTTGAGGTAACATATTTATTTAACAAAATGTTTAATTTTTATAAAAATATTAAATATTCCAGAAAAATGAAGGTTGCAATCATATGACCTGTCTCAAATGCAATAAACAATATTGCTGGCTGTGCTTGGGTCTATGGGTTGGTCATAGAAATTGTCAATAAATTATTATTAATTATACAATATTATCTGATTTTTGTTTATTTTGTATCATGGTTTAATTTTTAAACTTTAAAATATCTATATGTTTCTTATTATGTTACCTTTATAGAAATATAATTTGTTTTTAGTTCATTAATGAAGTTACTATAATTTATGTAGTTGATTTTAGTTGAACAATAAAATTATTTTACAAATTATTTTCCAAATAAATAACTAAAGTATATTTAATTATTATTTATATAAAGTAAGTATAAATAGTACTTGTACAGTTTACACAAATAAATAATTTCTCCGATACTCATACAAATTAAAAATTAATTTGTACTTGTGGAATTAATAATCATCTAAAATATATCAGGACATATTGAGGATGTTTGCACTAAATTTTAGTGCAAATAATTTTTACAGTATTGATAATGTAAAACAATTGTAATTAAAAACTATTAATATAGATATTATATTTTTTTTATATATTTTACATGATACTTTTTATTAATGCAACTTATTATAAATTTATTAAAAATTTCCA